TTTAGCTATTTACTCTTTTAGTCTCTGGGGTTTGGCGTCAGAGGCCCAAGGGGTAGTCAAGAAATATGTAAAATCAGCACTTCTTCCATTCAGTGGTCTTCTAGGTAGGAAGCTTTGAATGTGTGATGGGTTTTTTGGGACTGAAAGAGTTAAACAGTTGTTGAGCTTGAGAATGTTAGTTTGTGTTTTGTATTTTGGGAATTGGAAAAAAAAAAAAACTAGAACTTTGCCCCTCTTTATTCCCACCTTGTTGGTTTTGTAAATCTTAAGACTCTTTCCAAATAAGGAACCCTTTTCCCCCACATCTTCAGGCCATTTGAGCATTTAGCCTAGACCTATCTTTTTTTCACCACTCTGCACTTGGTGGGTGATGTCAACAGTGTGCTGGCCACCTTTACTTCTCAGGACTTTACCTTCTACCTATCTAAGACTAGATCGACCTGTAGAGCGGATAGTATAGAAACACATTTCCAGAAATGTAGCTGTGAATAGATTTGAAAATCTACTGCATAGTCTTTATGTTCATTATCGTCACATTGTAGTTTTCTAATTTTGTGTCATTTTTTTTTTCCTGAGAGTAGAATCCAGAATTTAATTTGGATCTCTCAAAATATGTTTTAAATGTACTATAAGGTAAAAATGGTTAAAACAAGTTTTTTTTTTTTTTTTTTTTTAGTAATATAAACAATGGAAATGGTCATTGTATATGATGAGTAAAAGTGATGTTCATTAATTCCTTACCATAACCTTCACCTTGGCTGTCTTCAGAGTGGCGAGAACTGGATGATTCTGGTTTTGCTAAGCGTCAAGTTACCAAGGTTACTTATTACCCTGATGACCCTGACCTGTCAGGTGGGCCGGCTAATGCATGGCATTAGAGAAGCTGTTCTTGGAGACAGTTCTTGCATTGTTCTTTCTCTGTTCTGTTGGGAACCTCTTGGCATGTTCTGTTTGTAGTTTCTCTGTCACAGTGTAGGAATGATACTCTTTAACACCAAGCATTGATTTCCAGAGCTTGAAAATTCTTGAAGACTATTTTTTTTCATCTTTTCCTTCTTGACTAATGCACTCCATATATTTTTCTTCATCTTTTCTTTCTTGACTAACAAACACCAAGATCTCATTTCCTGTTTTGGATTTTCCTAACCATGGATTTAAATAACAAAGCATTTTAATAGCTCATTGTGTGTCCTTTCTGGACTTTTGAAACCTTGTTTCGTAGCTGAATAGTTTTTAATTTAAAATGACTCCTTTTTAAGTTCTGCAAATATTTAAAAAGAAGCTGTGTGTAATATTAATAAATGAAATAACCTTTAACCCAACGATTGTTACACATAATTGTGGGACTTTTAAGGATAGCATATTTAAACGTGTGCAACTTGTGGCAAAATAAATGCAGTTTTGTAATTATATGATGCTTTGACTCACAAACATAAACAGTTCACGATGTTAAAATAAACAGTTTGTCTAGTTCAGCTGTTTGATTTATACTGGAGGTTAGAGAATGCATTTAACAGTTACATGATTCTTGAGAACTATGGTTCACCTTTGGCAAGGGGGGTGGTTTATTTTAGAAAAACAAAAGTTTTCATATTTTTCGGGCGGTTGTATAAGACTTGCCTCATGAAAGAGACTGGGGCCTGACCAGTAATATTCCCAGTGATAGTCGAGGACTGGTGGACTGCAGCCATCTTTTATTGTGGAGACAGAAAATAATTTTTTTTCAAGGAGAAATACCCTGACATACTTGTCAACACTGTCTGTCTCATTCTGTACTAGTAAATGTAGATGATATTAACTTAATGGGTTTGTGGCAGTTCAGTGTATTTGGTACTAATTTGTGGGTCATGCTGTCACGCAGTTAGGTCTAACATTAGAGTTTTGGTGGATGGGTAGCCATGTTTAGCCTCTGTATTCACATGGTGCCAGTGCATGACTTTATGTTAGTATCATTGTTGTAGTTGACTTCTGTGGATTAATTTTAATGATAGATAGTGTTCCAGTTGAATGTTTTTCTTTTAGTGTTGTATCTAGAGTGCTCAGTTATTGAGTGCTTATTGTCCCACTGCAGATTGTCAATTGTGTGACACACACTGTTCTTGTAGCACATGAGTTGTTCTTGCATGCCTGTACATGTGTGTGTGTTGGTACCTACAGTCCTTGAGATTAAAATATATGTCCCATTTGTATTATGTTGTTCATCATATACTCACTTGTATTATGTTGTTCATCATATACTCACTTTCACACAGTGTCATCAGAAGAGAAGGACACTTTTCCAAGCCTTTAGGCACATTGGGCATATAGTACTAGACCTAGTACTCAGTGGATGATGTGGTCAAGCATCATGCCACCTGCCTTTACTTCCCATGACTTAACCTCGCACCCATGTAAGGCATATGATAGAAATACAGTTTCTGTGACTGATCTGCTCTTCAAGGGCAATATGGTCATTAAGACAGTATTATCATTCATCATCATCATCATGTGCTGTATCCGAAAGTATAGCTGTCACATTTTGCCCTCTCACATGATTGCCAGAAGTGTGGATCAAATCAGTGTTCTTATCTCACCCCAACCATGTGGCCAAACCATCAAGTTATTTACTTCTTGGCCTCCCAGATAAATGGTTGATGACATTAGATGAGTTTGACTCAGAATCCAACCGGTCAGGAAATATTCATCGAGGATTAAACCGCCAACACTTAAGTAACTAGTGTGCCACAACTGTTGTCACTTTGCAAGAAAATCCAGTAGTAAAGTTGCCCTTGGCAGTCCTACAGTGACTGTGTTAATGCAGTTGCCATATTTGTGTGTTTTTGTGTAGACTAAGGTCAACTGACTTGAATGTAGACACAGCATATTGACGATATCTTAGGCATGATGATACATGAGGAAGATGTTTACCTGAATGGCTTTGACCTCATGGCCTAACGACAACAAGAACACTAACCTGATCTATTATCACACACACATATTTGTGTGCATGTGTGCCTGCATGCGAGAGAGAGAGAGAGAGAGAGAGAGAGAGAGATAGTGTGTGCACTGTTCTGCTAGTGATTATTGTGTCTCTGTGTTTGTATTTGTTGTGCCTTGCACAAGTTGCATATTTTGTTGCCTTTCTGTTGGCAATAGTATTTATCAACATTAATCACTGTTAGAGAAAACAGGTTGTCTGCATGCTTCTCCAAATTAACTGTAGGCTCATTAATATTGTCATATTAACGGTAGGCTCATTGACATTTTAGGCTTTCATTTTAAGTATTTATCAGAAAGAGACTGCGCTGTGTTAAATATTCATCATTCTGCATTCTACACTTAATCTTAAATAAAGTTAATATGTATATGATATGTGTGCTATTAGATCATTGTGATAGATCATCATAAATACAACAGTATAACAGCCTGTTGCTTCAGGTTATCCATCTGCTCAGTAGCTGAAATAAGTCTGAATTCCTTCTGCAGATTACAACAGTCAGATTTTGTCTTGACCTTTCTTGGTATTCCTCCTAAATCTGTTTACATGCTTGTGCTATTTTTCCCTATTTAACTTCTAAATAAAATCATAGTTGTATTTCTCATGATTAATTAGTTGTTCTCACTCATGCCCAAACCATCTTCATCTGGCCTAATATTCTGTTCACATTTTTAAGTATACTGTACTGTATTTCTACAGTTTTCACTTGAGTGCCAGTTGTTACATTTTTTTAACTGGTTAAATAGAAATCCATTATCTTTATATGCTAAACAGTTTTATAGACTTACACATTTTTTTTTTCCTTTTTCCTATTGATACCCCACATGAGTGTGTAATGAAAACAGTATTAAGTTTCATCATCTTATCTCAGAAACTGAAAAATTATGTCTGTGTCGACAGCTACGACCGTTTACAACAAATAATAGCAGATGGCATGGTACTAGAAAACAGGGGCAGATGCCAGCCAGCACCAAGATATAAGTGACACATTGGACAGGAAAGTGCATGAGACAGGGGAGCTGACAAGAGACCTAGTTTAAGACAGACTGTGATGAGAGCAACGTTAGGACCTGCTGAAGATATGTTAATTTATTAAAGGCTAATTATAAATTACACCAACTTTACCATCTGACAGGTCATTTTCTTATGTCTGAAAAATTGTATTCAAGCATCACAAGTTTCTATTTTTGGGGGTTTTATTTGCCCTGACTATAATTCATGTAAATAAAATATTAGTTGATCTGTTTATTTTACTGAATGTTTTTTGAATAAACATATTGTGAAATAGCCTATAAAACAAATCTAATGAACTGGCGGCCCGTGGGCCAGATATGGCTTGCGAAGGCCTTACAGGTAGCCTTCGAATAACCCGCCAGTTATATTGTATTAACGCTCTTTCTAACTTAGGGTTTGACCTCTGGTCCGTGATGATCCCCATTTTCTAAATTCTGGCCCCTTAGTTGAATAGCCCTAGTATAGATCAGATGCTGTACTTTAAAACATCTTTAAAATGCCGTCTGGCATTTGACCTAGATAGGTTTTATGCTTTCTGAAGTGTGTTAGCAGTTTAAATTTGGCAAAGACCTTCAACATTCAATACAGTTCAGCGTAAATTATTAGAAAATATCACAAGTCAGTAGTTTACTAATAGTTGAGTTTCTCGCATTCTGAAATGTTCTCTCATAAATGTGTTTCTGCTCTTAAAAGTGGAAGACATAAAACATAGAAGCAAGCAACATAAAATAATGTCTTTGAGGAAAGAAGCAAGAGGATGTAACATAAAAGTAGGGATTTTTTTTTTTTAAGGGGGAGGGGGGGGAGTGTGGGGAAAGAGGGGGGGGGGGCAGAGAATATCTTAAATAGGAGCAAACAAAAGGATGTAATTGTTCAGTAGTGCAATTTACAGAAACAAGTAATAGGATGTTAAATTTCAGTAGTATGATAAAAACAAACAAACAGAAGTAACATGTCTTTGACAGAAGCAAACAAACACTTATATTCTCTCTTTTTTCTGGTCTTATAGCTGTGCATGGAGCCACTTTTGCAGGTACATAAATTATTGTCCTTTCTTTCTATACTAGCTTTATGAGATTAAATATTACTGAATTAGTGTTTCATATACAGGATTCATGTTGTTGTTGTGTTGTACCATATTAGGTTCAGGATAAATGGTTATGTTGCTGTTGTTGGTCACAAATTTATTTCTTCTGTATTGTGATGTTCACTATAAATGCTATCTGACTCTTCTCAAGCCATCAGTTTCCATGTACTGAAAGTGTCCGACAAAATAATTTTGAACTTAAAACTATTTAAAAAATAAAACACTGGATATTGAAAATACATTTTTCACATCAAAGTCAAACATTGAAATGTTAGAAAATAACTGAATAGAGGAAAGTATAACAGTATAAAATTAAAATGTTAAACTATTAGCAACAATGTGGTGAAATATTTCATATAATGATATTCAACATACAAAAGAGAGAGCATTACCTGTAATATAACTGAAAGAGTGTAATGTGGTATCTGAGCCTGGTATATTGACTGGTGAGTGAGTCTGTGTGGTTCTGTTTGATTGGGACATTAAATCAAACCACCAGAGAAGTTTTATGCATTTACTATTTATGTTAGAGTAGGCAAGACTTCATGATTTTGTGAAGAAGGTCATTAAAATCACAAAATTACTAACCTTTAACAAATCATCATTATTTATTCGGCTTTTAATGCAAATTCTGAAGTAAATAGCTTCATTTTTTCATTGAAACCACAATATTTTTGTAAGGCCTGCCTAGAAGGGAGATGGTTTTATTTATATGATATCTAGATTGCTCAGTTCAACACCATGCTTGTGCCTTATCAGTTTTATGCTTTTCAATTTTTGCTCAGTATTTCTCATTGATGTAACACCAGGCCTGTCCAGTTTTGGTTGTGTTAGCTTGGGGTGCCAGAGTTAATTGTGCAGACTTGGGAGGCAAGGAAGAAAAAGAACACTGCCTGCAGTTTGAATGGGGAGGGTTAGTAAGTGGCACCCAGAAACAAACATGTTGGACATGTGGACAAGCCGGGTTGTTTGTGTTGTCTATTTTGATGTTGTCAATAAAAGTTTGACAGACATTTGACACTGTTTTGTGTTTGCTGTTATTTATTTGTTATCTGGATGTTTTATGTTCTTTGTGGTGATGAATCCACTACATGGTGGTTGGGGTCATTTGTGTTGATTTTCTGCTGAGGTCATAAAAACTTAAAGCAGCAATATGAAGTTGATTAATCAGGGTGGATTTTTATTTGATGCTTTCAGTAAAAATCAATATCAGTAGTTAAGAGAAATTGAGTACACTGAGACACATGGAAAGACATGATAGGGTTGAGGTAATTATTATTACTAAGTTAACTTTAGAATGACAGGCGAACAAATATGTGAGATTTATAATATAATGCCAGTTATCATGACTGGTAACTTTCATAATTTTTTTTCTCCATTGTTTTTGTTCGTATTTTTTATGCTTCCTTTGTAACTCTTACATGAGTATAATTTTTAAACAAATATTGTAGGTATAACTAACATCATTAACTATATGTAGATGTAGGTTTAGACAACAGATCAGTATTATGGCACAAAGGGTAACCCATGAGTGTTCCATTCTACTTCTGACTCAAGCCTACTCAGTGACCACATTATTACCGAATATACAAGTCATAATCTGACACGAGAACACTTCATACAGATTCACAATTGCAGGAAATAGTTCTGACATAAAAGTAGTTTCAAATCATTAATGATTTATCAGTTATCCCTTTATTACAGTTCTGGCCAGCTCTAACGTCAAGTTATCCGATATAAGGCAATATATTTGTAATATTAGATGTTGATGACTTCAAATTACCATTTTTAGTTCCAACAGTTATTGTCATTTGTTTATTTGAATTACCTTCGTGGTGAGCACTAGTGTTTTGACACTTTTTTCCTTTTCAAAATAAGTGGTATTTGAATCAGCTTTTCATTCTTTGAATTTATTTTTGAATTTATTGCTTTGATGCATTTTTTTGGCATTTATTATTGAAAGATATTCTGCTATGAGTAGTGTTAGAAACAAATGTGTGTTATCTGTAAAAATCATTTCTCAAGTAGTCAGTAATTAAAAAACATATATGACAAGGCCTGTACAAATGTTGTGGGGGTTATGTGTGTGTTGTGAAAATGGTAGAATGTCAAATATGAAACTGATTTATCAAGACATAAATACTTCTGTAGCAGAAATGAGTTTAGTAAACATGTGCAGACACGTAGATGCTCACACTACTTGTAGTTTATATCCTATGCTTATCTTCAGAGTCTAACAATCCCAGTCTGGCAGAGGAAGATCGTTTCTAGACAGTTCAAACTGCAGAAATCCATTTAACAGATGGACACAGATAGGGTAATTTCACCTCAAGATATGTTGGAATATGGGGGGAATATGAAAACATTTAGGACAATTTAATCTGTCTGTAAAGAAATACACTCAGGATGCGGACCCACATATGGGAATGAAACCTCAGAATAAGATTAAACACACAAATCTGTAAATCACGCATGTACACGCACACACACACACACACACACACTATGCTATGGCATAGCACGTGCCAGTAAGTTAAAGTAAAAGAATTTGAGGTCATTCGTCTTTCCCACTGCAACTTGTGGATATGAGTCATTGAAGAGGAAAATTGAAGCTTTGAACTGAAATGTTACAGAAACATCCTTAAAATACTGTAGACCAAGAAGAAAAACATGGATAGCTTGCATGAGTTGAACACCAGGGAGAACTGTCTCATCAACAGTATCCTCTTCTAGAAGCTGAGGTATTTTTGACATTTCAAGTGCCATGGTGATGTGGAAAGAAAGAGGATGGACGGTGCAGTTTCCGGAAAGGTATATGCAGCACACCGAAGATCGATTGACTATAAAAACACACAGGGCCAGAGAACTGGCTAGAAAAAGAGGGGCTTTCAAGCGTAGCGTGAAGAGTGACATTCTATGTTTTTATGAAGGTGGGGATTATGAAATATTCTGACATACTGTTTCCCCACAGTAAACCTGTTACAGAAATATATATTTTATATTGGTGTGAGAGAGAGCATGTGCGGGACTAATATACAGGTATAGGTGGGGGGTTGCACACTACCACTACAGTGGTGTAATGTTACAAAAAGGATAAGAATTATAGTTGATAGACATTTTACCTCTAGAACATACACTGCTTAATTGTATGTGTGTGTATAGTCACATCTAAATCCACCATTAAACAGTGTATGTTCTTGAGGTAAAGTGTGTGCGCGCACACACACAAACACATAACGCGCATACCCACACACATACACACACACATAAATCTGCCAATTGTTTTTAAATATTTCATTAGTCATTTTCCCCCATGTGGGTTCCGGGGCCCCATTGTGGGGAAAACAAGAACAGACCCACTGCCTCCCCAAAAGCATGTCGTAAGAGTCGACTAATTGGGGAGCTTCCTTTGAAGTCGGAGTGCATCTGCCAGAGAGGCAAGGAATCAACAGTCTGTATTCAAGAGATTGAGATCTGTAAAACTGATGCACATGCAACACTCAGGTTCTGGAGCAGGACTGCAGTTCAGTAGTGGACGAGCAACCAGAACTTTCCGCCAGAGTGTACAGCTGGTGAACACAAAGAAGAAAGAAGAAGAAGATTAGTCAGTTTCAGTTTGTTGTCACTGTTATTAATTTTTGGTGGGGTTTTCTTTTTTTTAAGCAGAAGATCCCAACTCACAAGTTTCAGAAGATTGTTTCTGCTTTTACTCTCACATCATTGGCATTATTATTGTTACAGTTATAATTATTATTAAATTACTGCTATAATTCAGTTTTTTTTTTTTTTTTTTTTAATTCCTTGAGTATGGTCATGTTTAAATTTCTTTTTTTTTTTTTTTTTTTTATAAGCCAGTAAATAAAGAGTCAGAGAAAGAATATTAATTTTTTTTTTTTTTAATGGCTTCATTTACTAGACTTTGTTTCCTTTAAGAAAATTTCTAGTAGCTATAAGCAGATTTGTGCACATGATGCCACTCAAATATGAGACTGGTAGACCCACCTCCCCCTCTCAGGCATGTCAGAAAATGCAACTAATTAACAATTAGCTGAAATCATACGTGTTGGGCCAAATGGTGCAGACTAACTGTAAACCACAGAGAAAGTTTAATCATTTTTTATTTGTGACACTAGGCGTTGCGAGTCCGACTCGTAACTTCAACGTACCATGATCGAAACCCACTGCTGGCTGCATGGATTTGTATCGTGGTATGTGGCGTCCCAGGTGGACCCAGCCTAAAATGGATACCAAGATGTATGTCCTGGGGAAGTAAAGACGGCCAGCGTAATGCTGACCACATTACCCAAATAGTGCCGATTGGTCTGTAAATGTATAGGTGCTTTTCCTATATGCCCGATGTGCCTAAAGGCATGAAAAGGGATCTTTACTTTTTATTTGTGACAAGGGTTTTCAAACAAACTATTGTTAGTGAGGTATCTTAAACAAATCATTGTTTAATTATATTATATATTCAGTGTTTACATTTTCCACATGAGCTTGTTTTATCCGTAGCTTCTTCTTTTGCTATTGTCATTTTTAAATGTACTATTTGTAACATGTTTTTATTCTCAAGTTTTCTAGCACTGTTCAGCTTTTGCTGTTTAGTTTTCTCATTTGGTATCAGGCACACAGCAGCTTCTTTTTGCAGTTTGTAGCTGTTTTTGCATGGATGTCTCCTCACTCCCACACAAACCTCACATTTCACGCAGACCGGGACAGAGGTAAATATTTCATTTTGTCATTGTTACATTTGTTTTACTGAATGGAATATATCTTTGCTTTTCTCTAAATTTCTGTGTTATTGCACTATTATGTTAATTTACAGAGAATATCCTGTTTTTTTTTTTTAACATAAATATAAGAATATGTTTTTCTGTAGTTAACTTAATATATCATAGAAATATTAATTTATTAAGTATATAAAAGCTTTATAGCTTTACCAAGCA